CTGAAGTGACGCTAGAGGCCGACTGCCCAGGTTGCCTGGAAACCCATCTGAGGTCACTTGATGAAACATCAGATGCTCAAGGTCCTAGTGACCAGTCGGGACATGGGGGAGGCTCAGGACACAGCCCAGTTTTTCTGTCTGGCCTTCGCCTCCACCGTCATGCAGCAGAACCAAGTGCCTGAGCCGTGGGAGGCGCAGTCCTGGGCTCAGGGCCCCTGGTGTCTCTGCCCTGGACCTGAGAAGCAGCAGAGTGGTCACAGGACACACACGGTACACACTCCCCCTCTTCTACCCGCTGCACCAATGAGCTGGGAGGAAGTGAAGGGGCCACAGTCCCAGCTCTACCACCTGTCCGCTGTGTGAACTTGGGGACGTGCTCCACCTCTCTGAGCCTCGGGTAAATGTCAACGCATTTCACACTCCTCACCTACGTGCTCGGCAGCCCCCACCAGCACGCCACGTGCGTCGGTGGCTCAGGCACCAACCGAATGCAGCTCCTAGGGGGCGGGAGTCCTGTCCCCTGGGCCCTCCCCTAGGACCACACTCAGGACCGCGGAGCCGGACAGCCGGCGCCGACCCCGGACCCCACGCGCCGGCCCAGTGCGGTGGCTATCCCTAAACCGGCCGATTGCACCACCTCCACAGGTGGCCGACCTGTTTCCAGTGTCGCATTATGTTTATCTTATTACTTATTAATAAAAGAACATTTATGTGACTCTAAGTTACCCAGTTGCCGTTAAAACTAAAAAAAAAAAAGTTCGGCCTACACGGTTATTTTACGATCGGTTTGACCACAGCCAGACTAGTCACATCCATATCATTCAGAGTTAAACACAGCACACTTTTAAGATCCCTGAACAGCAGATAAAATCGCACATGCGCCTTCATGCCTCCTCCCGAACCGGCTGGCTTCCGGCTGACCGGAGCGCCCACGCGCTCTGCTGCTCTGTGGGGCCATCACGAGTTTCTGTCCTTCGTTGCTCGATTGGTGGGTTGGTTTATATCCTGCGGATGGAGACGGCTTTGAACTAGCTTCTGTCGCTTGAACTTCCCCACTGACACACAGGGCTTTATAATGGCAGGTACGGCCTCTGACCAGGAAAGTAGGCCAGCTTCGCCTGTCTACACAAGGAAGAAATCTAGAACCCCAGCCTCATTAAACCCCCAAGCAGGACATGCAGACGCAGTGACCAGTCAGGGACATTCAGCACCCGCGACTCATCACGCAGTCAGCTGCCACATTTTCAAGTCTACCTTCACATTTTGGTTCATGGTAAAACGAAGAAACTCGTGAAATAAGAGACAGCCCCGCCAGGAGGCCACCAGGCTTCCTCCCCCCTGACCTGTCCCACCCAGGCCCCGGGACGGCAGGCCCCGCTCTCCCACGGCCAAGGGCACCCCACTGGGTGTGCAGCCCTCCTGACGGCCAGCGCCCTGCACAAAGCGGGGTTCCATAAATATTTGCTGAATGGAGCAATGAGAAAGGCCAGAATGTGGCATTATTTTCATAGGTCTCCAACACTCCTCAAGAGTCTTGTGACTTCCTGCATACTGATTACCACCCCAAGTGTCTCCATCCCCTAAGACTAGTTTAAAAGGTAGCCCAGTAGTGACCGCTAAGCAGGAACAGTCATTCCGCAGGAGATAAGAGCACTATCAGCAATGTAATCACGGTGTATTTACATCCCTCTTCATCTTATCATTTCATCATTGAAGGCAGAGGAAGGGAAAAGGTGAGATCCAGACCAGTGAACAAAAAAAGAAATAAGATAAACTTAAAACAAAAAAGAATCTAGAAATCGATCTCATCCACCCTCCCAGAAAAAACTGATGGATGTGTTTTTCTCCTTCATTGTAACTGGATTATTTTCTCCCACCGTATTTGCAAAGCTCTGCACTCTGGCTGCTCACTAGCTCTATTTGTCAGGAGAGAAAATTGCTGGCACTACCAGCTGGGACAGCACCACAGTCTCGAGCCACAGGCTTGTCAGGTGTAAACATGGCTTTGAAGCCCATCATGAAAATGGGAAGCAGGTGTGTGGCCTCCTGGGCCAATTTCCTCATCAACTGGAAAACTGAGATTTTGATACTTACGTTGGCACCCAGGCTAAACAAACTGTATCTTGATAGCCTTAAAGTGAAGGGTAAAAGATACATTCTGCATTCCCCAGAACAAAACACCTAATCCAAACAGATTTTATCTCGTCTCAGTGTAGAAGCAGGTGAGAAAAGTCTAAGCCTCACATTCACTCAATTCGACAGGTAAATAGTGGGCACTGCGTGACGCACAGTATTTAGGATTCACAAATTACTGCTGCTTCCTTCAACTGAAATCAATAAAAACCCTGTCAGAAGTATTAAGGCCCTACCCCCCGTCCCTCACCTTCTCTGTCATCTCTAAAGGAAAAGATTTCTCTTAAGAAATCAAGAGCAACTTCTCAAATCAGAGGCTGCCAGTATGTTTTACTATCCACCATTCTATTAAAAGCTGTTAAAAATAGCACCTCTGTCTTTCTCTCATTTCCCTGCCTTTCCATTCTCCTCCAAATAAAAAAGGTTATGTGAAGACATCCAGTCCGGCACACCATGGGCAGGGTCCCCACACACACACAGCTGCCCCTCCAGCTCCCACAGCCACAGCCCAAAACTCAAACACCTGCCGAAAAGCAAGATGAGAAAAGACACAGTGATGGCTGTGATCACTGTGATGGGGCCATGGCGTGGGGCGCAGACGGGGCAGGGCGCTTACCCTCCTCCGAGGTCTCAGCAAAATCCGAAGGGTTGGACTCAGAATGAAAGGAGCATTTTTTTTTTTCTGGAAGTTAAGTAAAAGAACTTGGGAATTGATTTATTTTTAAAATAAGATCCCAGATATAGTCAACAAAGTTGATCTTTTTGCAGCAACTGGTTTTTGATAACAAGATTTTGGCCGTAAAACCGAGTCCATGTGAAAGGCAGGAAGAATGGAATGGGCGGCCTATCATTTTCTCTGACAGCTCACGAGCAAAAATTAAACACTAAAGACCACCACGAGGGTGTTTCCCCCTCAGTCCAGTTTCAGTGAAAACTAACTTCGTGGCTAAGGATTTTCTCAAATGTTTTCATAGGAGATACTTGGCACACTCATAAAAACTGAGTTATTTCCTTTAAGATTTTTATCTCACCCCAAATGATTACCCAGTGATTTTTAATGCGACCATTTCACTGCATTTGTGAATTGTTTAAAAAGCATAAAATGGCAAAATAATGATTTTTCAAATAACAATGCAATGGGCTGGGTGTGGGGTGGGGGTGGGGGCAGCAGGTAAAACAAAAAGGCCAGTCAAACTTGGGGCCTACTGACAGTGACAGGAAACTGTTGGCAAATTATTGAAGACACTGACCCGCTTTGAAGGTGACCTAGAGCCCCACAAACATTCCCCAGTGTCCTCAGGCCCCCCATCCAGAAATTAACCTGTGATTAACCAGAGTTTTCCATTTCTGGTCTTGTCTAATGCTTTGGTGGGTTTGGCACCTCAAAGACAGTTTGTAATGCAGTCTGTACATTTAAGTCACCCAGTAAATAAGGAAAATACTGTGAGAAAATGATCATAACTACTTGACTTCCTTTTTAGGAACAACTTAAGGCTCAAAAATTAGCTTTCAATAGTGTAGGTAATGCTATCCTTTCCTATTTGGTAATTATCCTCAACAAAGTGGCCTTAATTTAGGCGACTGTGAGAAAGCCTGTAGTACTGTATTTTAAAAGACAAGCTACAGAATAATTAGTTATTTAATTTAAAAAAAATAGCATTTGAGAAATATTTGGCAACTCTCTTAACCTACATGGCACTTTGCCTTTTAAAGCACGGATAATCCCCTAACTGGCTCCAGAAGTAGGCAAAGTCCCTTTATCACAAAGACAGAGGAAGTGACTGACATCCACAAATGAACAACAAAACAGAATTTGAACTCAGAGTCCTTCACTCTGCTATGATTCCTGCAGGCTTCGCGACAGCTCATCAAACCTTGAAGCTTCAGGGGAAACATCTATCTGCTTCGCTCAACCACAACACGCACAACACACGTACAAAGTACAAGTCCATCCTCGGCCAGCGTTTCTCGGTCGTGAAGCACCACGGTCCTTCTCGGTATGGCAGTAAACGCATTTCCTAGAAGGCACTGGCAAGTCTTGGCCAGGCCAGTCTACAGTGGAGGAGCGACTGCATGTGTCCAACCCGATGACAAGAGGCTCAATGTGTCGCACCATCGTACCATCGTCTTGAACTCTGCATTGCAAGAGCGGTTCGGGTAACAAGGCAACCCTGGTGATTATACCTATAGGACCAAACACGGCCCCGGTCAATCTGAGCGCAAACACGCAGCGCGGAGGAAATCTAATTTCTGGAACAATACTAGGTGCTGCCTAATTCCACAAACGCACACACACGTCCATTTTTAAACTCAGCTCAGTCCCAGCGCGGGGCTGACCCTCCTCCCACCTGAACTTCTCGGTGCCAGCCCGGCCTAATCGCTCGGAGCAGGTGAGAGCGCCCGGGGAGGTGGGGCCGCGCCGGTCCCTACCAGCCCCGGCTGGCCCGGCTGCAAGCAGGTAGTCCTGTGGACTTTCGGGTAATGTGCTTTTAAAACCTCCCCGCGACCGAGGTCACCGCTTTAGAGAGCTAATAAGAGCCAAATGAGCGGGCTGCCGGGCACTTAGTGAGCCATTCAGGATATGGCTGTTTAATGGTACCTGGAGTCCTGCTAAAGGGGGCGCCGAGGGCTCCCGAGCCCCGGGAGGCGAATGCTCGGCTGGGAGCGCCCCCGCCCGGCCAGCCTCACCTGTCACTCCGCCCTCCACCCCCCGCCCCCCGGAGCGAGCCCCGGGCAGCTCCAGGGCCGGAGCGGGATCAAGGGGCCCGGGCATCCCGTCCCGGGGAGAGAGCAGCAGGACGGTCCCCAGGCGGGGGACCCTGGGCGCGCAGGGTCCGCCAGGCGACACGCTGCCCCGTCCCACCTACCAGATAATCCATGTACAGAAACGCCTCAGGTATCCGGAGATCAGTCATCCGGCACTTAAAGCATCCGGAACGTCTCCGAACCCGGAAAAAAAGCGGCGTCTCGGGCTGCAAGCGAGCAGCCCCTGCAAAGCCAGCCACCACGAAAACAGCCGAGCGCCTCCGAGCAGCCGACGGCAGCACCGGGGCGCAGCGATTGGCTGGAGGGCGGGCCGTGGGAAAGCGGCGCGCTGATTGGCTGCGGCGCCTATAAAAACCAGGCGGCTGCAGCGGGCGGCAGAGAAGCGCGGGAGCAGTTGGGTCTTAGTTTCCCTGGAGAGGGCGGGGTACGGGGGCGGGAGCTGAGGCGGTGCAGGCGGAAGAGCTGGCAGGAGGGGCGGAAAGTCGGTGGTGCGGTCCTGGAGCCCTGTGCTTCCACAGCTTCCTCATTGGGCGCCGGGGCCGACGGCGGCAGTGTCTCCTTTCACCCCAGCAGCAAGCCAGAGCCCAGCGCAGGAGGAGCGGTAGCCACCGACACTTGGAGCCTCTCTCCCCAGCAACTCCTGCAGGCTCCGGGACTCCGACGGCCCCGCGGGGACCGGGCCCAGCAAGCGGGGGACCGGGGAAGGCCCCTGCCCTCCACGGTGGGGAGCCCTGAGCGGGCAGCAGCGCAGCCTAACGTCCTGGGGGTGCACGGACGCTCCCTCTCAGCAGATCACCCCGATCATTCCCTCTCCAATGCGAGAATGGAAGGGCTGGCAGAGTCCACTGTAGACCTCTGACACTGGGGAGAAAAGCTCTGCGATCTGCCCCTGTTGTCCAATTAATGACACTGAACACAAATCCCTGGTCTCTGGAGATCAGCAATAGAATAAAACGCTCTCTGGCTAGTACTATTAAGAAAAATTATTATATGTAGGTGCCCTTGAGACTTGTGCATTTCCTGGTAAATAGCGCGCAAATTGGTTGATACTGAGATTTCACATTAAGCTTGGGAGAAGGGAGCTGGGTAAGAACACTCCAGGCTCCCACCGCCCCCTCCTAAAATTCAGGCTATGAACGACCAATTCAACAAGCACAATTCCACACATGGAATACCTGTGCTGTCAGGCTCAGGTGGCTGAGGTGCCCCCAGAAGTTGAGGATGAGGGATAGCTCACATGTTAGCAACTAGGACTTCCTCCCACACAGTAAGTCTCAAGAGGAAAACTTCAACTGAAATCTTTCCAAAGTGACTGCCTAACTGTATAAAAGTTGTTTTAGAGGTTGGATTTTTCCTTTCCCCTGATTTAGCATGTTCTTTTTTCCTATCCTGAGTTTCCATACAATATGCTTAGCAGGTCCGTGAAAACAATTCTATTGCATAACAGTGGAATTCACTTTAAATATGTAGATAACTCAGGAGGGGGGAGTGTGTCCACTTCCAGGGAGCTCCAGGGGGTGAGCCTTGAGCTTTGGGGTATCCCAACTCTTCTGGTGAAAAAAAGAGAATTCCTATGGCCAGAGGGTTTTTCAAAGGAACTTATTACAGAGCCTGACTTTGGTGATCCCATTTAACAGACAAGGCGTGTGTGTGTATAAGAAATTATACTTCTAAAAAATTTCAGTGAGTTTTTGCCTGTGTGAGAGCTAACTAGACTCAAATGCATTGTCGATAGATCCAACTATGATTGGTTTTAGCACTCCGAGATTTAGAAGAGATTTTGACCTGGGTCCTGGAGGCAATGAACTTCCATGAACCTACAGCACAATCGGATGAAAGCAACTGCAGGTGTGGAAAGCCTCTCAAACTTGCTTGCAAAAAAATCATTTAAATAGACAAGAAACCTTGTGTTGTTGTCTGTCTGTTTGCCTTCTCTTCATGAATAAGCACATCGCAAATTAAGGCCTTGAGTTGACCAAGAGACACTTTCTGATCCCTCGTTTTCAGGATCAGTGGTGTCTTGACCGCTGTCAGGCTGGACCCTCCAGAGACCAGTCAGTGTCTGTGCAGGGAAAGAACCAGCCGGGAGCCCCTGGCTTCCGCCTTTCCAGGAGAAGCCAAGGTCAGAGAAAGACCTTCCCGAACAGAAGGGCATTGGGCTAACCACAGTCCGTGCTGCCTCCAGGGATGAGTAAATGGGAACAAAGCAGGCAGAGGAAAGAATTTGTTCAAGGAGAGTTTCCCAAGTCTGCACCATGGTGCCCTCCTCCACGCCATTTGCACGTTCATTCTGACTGGCGCCAAGGAAACCTTGTGTTAGGTCTAATGTAACAAAAGAACAATATACTGCCTTTTAGGAGAGGCCTTTGTTTGTTCGTTTGTTGTGGGGTTTTTTTAAGGTTTTCTTTATCTATTTAGAGAGAGGGGAAGGGAGGGAGAGAAACATCAATGTGTGGTTGCCTCTCGTGTGCCACCACCTGGGGACTTAACCTGCAACTGAGGCATGCGCCCTGACTGGGAATCGAACCAGTGACCCTTAGGGTCTCAGGTTCAATCCACTGAGCCGCACCAGCCAGGGCTTGCTTTTTGTCTTTTGTAACGAAGCTTCAAAACCCCCTGTGGAGCAAATTTTTCCAATTAGGTATTAGTCTTCTGGGATGTAAATGTGTGTACCCTTGTGCAGAAGAAAGAGGCCAACTTGATTATGTTGATCTACGTAGATAATACGCTCCACACTGCAGGAGCCTGCAGTCGTAGCTCGTAGACAGCGGCTGCAGCGATCCCCCCAATCTGTGTTTTTAAAAACGAGAATGTTGAGAGGTTAGAATGCATTCAGTTGACCCATGCCACTTCATGCCAGGTAACAGGCCGTAGTCCTGAATAAGACACGGTCTCAGGAACGCAGGCTTGCCTTTGCTCTCGGTAAACAGAGCGGCCCTGCCCCGGATGCACAAGGAAACACGCGCAAACTGCCAAGGCAAGTGCAGTACTACACGGGCTGAGGGAACGGGCCTTCACTGTGGCTCGTCCAAAGCAAGGAGAAATTTTTTTCGACAGCCCATGCTGTGCAATTCCATCAAGAGCACCAGCTACGCAGATTTGGAGGAAGTTCTTTGTAAAAATGTTCCCTGTAGGAAACAAAGAGAAAAATGCATTTTTGCAGCTTGGTCTCCCAAATTCTGCTTTCCAGAAAAACCAACGCATTGGTGGCTTTCTCCATCTACTCCTTTCATGTTGTTCATTTGATACGTGGTGACTTGGGGGAGACGACATCTGCAGTTGTTTTGTATCATGCGTGCTCAATATATAAATTCACCACACCAGGAAACTTCATAAGTGTTCAATGGGAATATAAATCTCGGTCATATAAATACACTATGTCCACAAATCCTCTGTTCAATACAACTATTATAAATATCACAGTGAGTGTTTGCATATAGAATTGCTCACACCACATTATCCCACAGAGAATGTCTAGAAATGGAATTACTGATACAAAGCGTATGAGCGCTTTTAACCCTAATGTTACCACCAGATTATAGCCTCTGCTCTCCTACACCAACCTCAAAGCAGGGCCTGCTTGTCTGACCTCACGCTCGCCTTGACGAAGAGGCTGGATGAAGGTTATTCCTTAATCGCTGAGAGATGGCAGCTTCCTCAGAGTAGTTCTTAAACCACGGACGATCCTTTTCTCAGAAAAAGTGGAGGTGTCCTCACACTGAAATCTGTGGGCACAGATCCCCAGATACTTGGCTTGCTCAATTAGTACCTCTAGGAACTTCTGTGACTTTAAAATTCTCCCCCGAGCCCCCTTTTTTGAGGGCTTTGACTGCCCCCCACCCCATCCCCATTGCCACTGCCTCTGATTTATCCCAGTTCCCTTCTCTGCACCCCAAACCCACACAAAGCACCGCTATGCCCTGGAAGATGAACCCCACCAGAGCAGGGCGCCCCACATAAAGCTGCTAACAGCGTTTGGTTCCAACATGGGAGAAGTCAGAATGAGGTTAGGAGAGCAAACCCTGACCCTAAAAAGATGATTCACCTCTTCCAAAAAGGATTTGCTGGGTCTTGGAATAGTAAGGACAGATAAGGCATTTCAAGTGAAGAATCACCAATCAAAGGGAGAAGTAATTATACCAGGAAAATGGACCTGGACCTCACAAGTGACCACGGTTCGAACACCAGATTATCAAGACGCTCCGTCGGTCCCTCTCAGGGACTCCCCAGGATCGCTGACTGTCTCAGACACACCACCGCACCTCAGGTTGTGCTCGTTTCCTATTGTAACAAATCACCACCAGCGGAATGACGCACAACCCAAGTTCACTCTCTGAGCAGTGCTGCAAGCCAGAGTCCTGAGTTTTCTGGAGCTAAAATCAAGGTGTGGGCTGATTGCTTCCAGTTGCCCCAAGGGAGAGTTCCTTCATTGTTTTTAGTGTTTAGTTTTCCCTAGCTTCTGTGGCTATCTGCATTCCTTGGCTAGCGGCCGCATCATTCCAGGCTGCCTCTGTGGTCACACTGCCTTCTCCTCTTCTGCAGTGTCATCTCCTCTGCCTCCCTCTTGGGGACAGTTGTGGTGGCATTTAGGGCCTGCCCAGATAATCCAAGATAATCTCCTCGCCTCAAGACCCTTACTTTGTCCCACCTGCAACGTCACTCTCGTCATATGAATTCACCTGCCCCACGATCAACGTGCTGAAACCCCACAGCAAAATCCCAGGTGAAGTCACTTCCCCTACACCTTACATCAGTAAAGCAGCCGAGGTGGGGGTTTCTCTCCCTAATTCCAGAGAGTGTGTTTCCCTTCAACGTTTTGCTGCCGAGGTACCAAGGGCACCTCCCCCACCCCACCTGGAGAGTAAAGGCATAAAAATAGATCCCTGAAGGCAGCATCAGAGACGGCACAGGAGAGATCGCCCATTTGGGAGAATAGAAACCAGGTGGAGAAGGAGCAGGTAGCGCGGCTGAGTGGAGAGCCTGCAGCCCAAGTTCTAAGTGGGCAAAGCCTGAAGGAGACCTGCTGATCCCTGAGGCAGAACCCTCGGCTTCAGCGTCGAAACCAGAGGCCCGGACCGGGGAGAGACTGGGGGAAAACACAAAGCAGCTGCGAGGCAGCCTTCACTGCAGCCCCCGGTCAGCCCCCCATCCCCCACCCCGAAGGCACCAGAGTGAAAGGTTACTCAGGGGTTAAACTGGAGGTGGCTTGACTTCAGGGGCACCAGGTGAAAGATCAAGAGTCAATCG